CCCAAACTTACATCATAATATAAAAATAGAGTAGGAATAATGTAAACCAGGGGAACATTTCCAAATTCTTCTCATCCAACATAGAAAACTTATCATGTATCTGGATACTTTTTTTTCTTAAGTGGTTTTGCCTTAGGGCACATGTGCTCACCTGAGAGAAAGACAAAGACAATGAGAGGGAAAGTAAGAAATCACCCCCCACCCAGGAGGGATGGCCAGGCAGTAATCTCTTCACTTCCATTCTTCTCTAGGATCTTGGGCACTCACATACTCGTACATGGCATGATTATCAAGCCACCAGGTCTAGGATTTGAACCATGGTCAGCCATGGGGGAGTCCATCAATGTAACCACTACGCCATCTGAGGGTCCCCAGGATACTCTTTATGTTACAAAATGTTACAAATTTAGAGATATCTCCAACTGAGGTCTGGAGAAGTAAAATAAATGATCATTATATTAGGTAATAGAAAAAATTATATTTGCTTTGGGAATATAACCACACACAAAGTGTACCCTTTTTTCAATACTCAGAACCCCTCTGGATATTGGGATAATGATGAAACTTACAAGACACAAGAGAAGTGTAAGTTAGCTATACTTAAAAACCATCTTTTTTTGAGAGGTTTTTGCTATAGGGCACATGCGCTCGCCAGAAAGACAGAGACAGAAAGCGAGAGATCCGAGAAATCACACCCTAGGGGGGATGGCCACGCCGCAATCCCTTCTCCTCCATTCTTCTCTTGGGATCTCGGTCACGAATACGCCTGTGCCCGGCGTGAGTTTAAGCCACTGGGTCCGGGATTAGAACCACAGTCGACTACATGGGAGTCCGGCGACACAGCCATTGCGCCAATTGCTGGTCCCAAACCATAATTTTTTAAAAAATAAATATTTATTTAATTTATTACATTTTGTTTCTTTCAAAATAAATATTTATTTAATTTATTACATTTTCTTTCTTTCTTTTTTAATTTGCTATAGGGCATGTGTACTCACCACACACACACACACACAGAGAGAGAGAGAGAGAGCGAGAGAGAGAGAGAGAGCGAGAGAGAGAGAGAGAGCGAGAGAGAGAGAGAGAGCGAGAGAGAGAGAGAGAGCGAGAGAGAGAGAGAGAGGGGAAAAGAGAGAAAACAAGCCACCAGGTCCGAGACTCACACTATTGTCCACCATGTAAGAGTCTAGTACTCCAAACACCATGCCAGCTTCTGACCCCTGCAATCATTATTGAAAGCTTTTTTTTTTTTTTGTCTTTTATTAAGGTTTTCGCCATAGTGTGTGCACGCTTGCCAGAGAGAAACTGAGAGAAACAGTGAGAAAGAAAGTGAGAAATCACCCCCCAAGAGGGGAGGATGGCCAAGGTACAATCTCTTCTCCTCCATTCTTTTCCCAAGATTTTGGGCATACACATACATGCACCCAGCTTGATTTTCAAGCTGTTGGGTCTGGGACTTTTAACAACGGTTGGCTATGTGGAAGTCCAGCACCTTAACCACCACACCACCTAAGGTCTGGTAAAAGGCTTTCAACAGGGGCCAGCAAAACCCAAACTGTTTCCGTAAGCAGTCATTCCCCATTATCTCTACTTTCCCTGTTCCCATCCCCTGGCAACATTAATCTTCTTTTTTGTCTCATAGATTTGCCTATTCTGACCATTTCATATAGATAAAATATGAGCTCTTTTGCAACTGGATTTTTTTCACCTAGCATAATGTTTTCAAGCTTTATCTATGTTGTACCATACAAGCAGACTTCAAAATGTTTGTAGAAAAATGGAATATGAGTTTAATGCAAAAAATTTTGAAATCCATGCATTGTTGTTTCATAATGCATATTTCCACAAACTTTTTGAAGCCCTCTTGTATATCAGTGCTTCCTTTTTCTTTATTATTGAATAAAATCCCATTGCATGACTATTCCACATTTTATTTATACACTTACCAGTTGGTGGACATTTGGATTGTTTCTACTTTTTGCCTATTTTCTTCTTTTAAGAATTATTGGGGATGGCAGGTGACGTGGTGGTTAGGAGCGCTGGACTCCCACGTGGCCAACCATGGTTCAAGTCCTGGTCCTGGTGGCTTGCTTTCTCACTTTCTCTCTCTCTCTCTCTCTCTCTCCCTCTCTGCTCCTCTCTGATCAAGTTAAAATAAGTAAATAAGTAAAGTTAAATCATTATAAAAAGAATTATTTATTTATTTATTTATTTAAATTTGACTATAGAGAGGGACAGAGCAAGAGGGAGAGAAAAGGAAAGTGAGAAAACAAACTGACAGGTCCAGGACTTGAACTGTGGTTGGTCATGTGGGAGTTCAGTGCTCCTAACCACCACAGCACCTGGCAGCCACACTTTTTGGCTGTTTTCAACAAAGCTGCTATGAAAATACGTGTGGGGCCAGCAGATGGCCTGATGGTTAAGGGCGCTTGACACTCACATGGCTGACCACAGTTCGAGTCCTGGACCTGGCGGCTTGTTTATGTTTATGTTCAACATTTTTTTTTTTTTTTGGAGAGGTTTTTGCTATAGGGTGCACGCGCTTGCCAGACAGAGAAAGACAGAGAGACAGAAAGCGAGAAATCACCCTCCAGGGAGGATGGCCACACCGCAATCCCTTTTTCTCCATTCTCCTCTCGGGATCTTGGGCACATATGCACACGCGCCCGGTGTGAGTTTTAAGCCATCAGGATCTGGGACACAAACCGTGGTTGACTACATGGGAGTCCAGTGACATAGCCATTACGCTAACTGCTGGTCCCTATGTTTAACTTTTTGAGAGATTTCCAAACAGTTTTCCAAAGTGATTGCATTATTTTCTTGTTTAAGAAAGATTTTTGCTATAGGGCACATGTGTTCATCAAAGAGACAGAAAACGAGAAATCACCCCCCAGGGGAGATGGCCATGCTGCAACCCCTTCTCCTTCACACTCCTCTCGGGATTCTGGGCATGCACACACACACACGCCTGGTGTAAGTTTTAAGCTGCTGGGTCTGAGACTTGAACCGTAGTCAACTACATGGGACTCCAGTGACGTAACTATTATGCCATCTGCTGGTCCCATGACTGCACTATTTACAATTTCACCAGCTGTCTGGAAGGATTCCAGTTCCCTCACATCCTTACCACCTCTTGTCATTATTTGCAAGAGGTTTTTGCCATAGAATGCATGCATTCACTGGAGAGACAGAGACAGTGAGAGAGAAATGACAAATCACCCCACCCCAGGGAAGACAGCCATGCCCCAACCCCTTCTCCATTCTCCTCTATTTAAAACAAACAAACAAACAAACAAAAAATCCAGAGGGCACATGTGCTCACCAGAGAGAGAATGGGACATGGTCATATTGTAATCCATTCTCCTTCAAAACTCCGTCCCACTTGGACTTCAGACATGCATGCACACACATGTGCCCAATGTGTCTTCCAAGCCATTGGGCCAAGGATTTGAACCATAGGCAGTCATGTGGGATCTAGCTCTCTTAATCATTATGATATAGGGCCAGCCCAGTCTTTTCTTTTTAAATTGACATAATTTCATGAAGTGTTAGAGTTAGTTCTAAAGTGGGTAGAGATAGAATAAGAGATTAAGAAAGGTTGAAATTCCCATTCCTACTCTCATAATATGAGGGGTGTTCAAAAAGTTCATGGAAGGACCAGCAGGTGGTATGTTGGTTAAGGTACTGGACTCCCACATGGCTGACGTGGTGCAAGTCCTAGAACTGGTGACTTGAAAATCACACCAGGTGCACATGTGTGCATGCTCAAAATCCCGAGAGGAGAATGGAGGGGAAGGGGTGTGGTGTGACCATCCCCACTGGGGCGTGCTTTCTCATTTTTTTCTCTCTATCTCTCTCTAGAAAGTGCACATGCTTTATGGCAAAAAAGGGAAAAAGGCAGTTAACGAAAAATGCACATCATTGAAAGAATATGGGGCTGGCCCTGTGGCCTAGTGGTTAAGGTAGCAGGATCCCACATGGCTAACCACGTACTTCATGTTTCAGCTATGGTGGCCTGAAAAACATGCCAGGTGCTTGTGCATGCCTGCCCCAAATCTCAGCAGGATGGAGAAATGGAGAAGGGATTGTAATATAATCATGTCCCATTGAGGTAATTCCTCCCTCTCCATCTTTCTGTCTCTCTCAGGCAAGCACATACCCTCTGACAAAAATAAAACAAAAATCCAAACAAAACAAAAAAGGAAACTATGCATGGATTTCAAAAATTTTTGCACCAGAATAAACTTGTAGCTTAATTTCATTTTTCATGAACTTTTAAAAAAATATTTTATTTATTTTATTTTATTTTTTATTTTGACCAGAGAGGGAGTGAGAGAGAGAGACGAAAAGTGAGAATGCAGGCCGCCAGGCCCTGGACTCCAACCGCAGTGGGCCGTGTGGGAGTCCAGTGCCCTTAACCACCATGCCACCGGCCGCCACTTTCATAAACTTTTTGAAGCCCCCTTGTATAAGCTTTCTGTATATGAGGGTAGATATAAATGCTTCATTTTTTCATTATGAAAAGATGGATCTGGGAGGAGCAGGTGGCATTGTGGTTGGGGTGCTAGAATCCCACTTGGTCGACTGTGGTTTGGGTACTGGATCTGATGGCCTTTTCACTCTCTCACCCACTCCCGTATCTCCCTGGTCAAATTTTAAAAATAAATAATAATAAATATAATTAAATAATTATAAAAGAAAAGAAAGTAGCTCTAATGCTATTTTCTCCAAAAACAGTATTTCTCTTGGTAATGGATTTGAAAGACCTACTGAGTGCTTCCAATTACCATGGCCAAATTTGCAGTTGGAGTACTAAGCAACTTGCCTAAGAATTGAACTACAATTCCCAGAGTGTATCTGAATCTCTAGGAGGGTTCTGGGAAGAGTGGCAGAAGTATGCTTTTTATATGCAGTTAATCTTGCAGTGGGAAGGCACAGCAGCAGGCCTGTAAATTAAACTACATTTCCCAGAGTGCATCTGTTAGTAGGATTCTGGGAAGTGTGGCAGGAGCAGCAATGGTCCCTCCTGGGAAAGGAAGCCATTCGAACTTGAACTTGGAGTTTCCTTCTTCTGCTGATTCTTGAGGCCTAGGAGGGCACCTCTAGCAGAATTCAGAGTGAGTATAGCAAAAACAGCTCAGGTTCTTACTGCAGGAAATATTTTATGGGGAGACATAATCAGAACTTGAAAAAAGCTGTTGGTTACAGCATTTTATAATTTTATCATAGTTGCTTTTTCTTCACAGAAACCATGGGAATGACCACATTTTTGTATACCTTGTGGAGCTACCCATTAACTATAGTAATCTTTTTTTTTGGAGTTGTTTAAAAACTAAATTTGGTAACTTCTTGCATTGTGCCTTATTTTTTTAATTAAGGGAGGAAAAATGATTTTGTAGAAGGCAAATCAGAGTTGGTCAGTGTGGGGACCAGCAGATGGCATAATGATTATGTCACCAGATTCCCATGTAGTCAGCCACAGTTCAAGTCCCGGATACGGCATCTTAAAACTCGTGTTGGATGTGTGTGCGTGTGCCTGAGATCCTGAGAGGAGAATGGAGGAGGAGGGATTGCGGCATGGCCATCCCCCAAAGGGATGATTTCTCGCTTCCAGTTTCTCTGTCTCTCTCTCTCCAGTGAGTGCACATGCTCTATAGCAAAATAAAACAAAACAAACAAACAAACAAAAATTGGTCAGTGAGACTTTGAAATACTCAGTTTTGCATACTCTTCCTCCCACTGATGTCCACAGTCATGGAAAGATGGACTCTCTCAGAAGGGCTCTCTCAAACACTACTGAATTTGGCCTCTTACTGGAAGTAACCATAGAAATTTGAGATGAGCTTTTTTGTCATGTTATTGTGCTTTATAAATTAATTATCTCCTTGACAGATGAGCAGATGGGAAATATGTATGAATCATTTATTTATCACCGGGGGTTCAGAGAAATGGTTAGCCTTAACAACTTTGCCTCATCACTTACAAGTATCAGTAAAAATAATATTACTTGGACTAGCAGATGATGTAATAGTTACATTGCTGGACTTTTACGTAGTCAACCGTGGTTCAAGTCCTGGACCCAGTGGCTTAAAACACTCCAGGCACTTGTGCATGCGTGCCCAAAGCCCTGAGAGGAGAATGGAGGAGAAGGATTAGCTTTCTGTCTGGCTGGCAAGTACATGCACCTGATAGCAAAAAATCTCTCTAAAATAAAAAGATAATAATAATATTATTACCTTTCAGAACTGGCAGGTGGTGTGATGGTTAAGGGCTCTGGACTCCCACATGGCTGACTGTGGTTCAAGTCCCAGACCTGGAAGCTTGCTTCTTCACTTTCCCCCTCTCTCTCTCACTCTGACTTTCTCTGCTCAAATTAAAATAAATAAATACATAAAGTTAAATAAAATAATTATTTAAGAAATAATTACCTTTTTTCTCTACCAAGCTGTGTATATTTTATTTATTTATTTATGTATTTATTTATTTTGAGATTTTTGCCATAGGGCCCATGCACTCACTGAAGAGGAGAGAGACAGTGAGAGGGAAAGTGAGAAATCACCCCCAAGGGGGGATGACCACGCTGCAATCCCTCCTCCTTCATTCTCCTGGGCTTTGGGGCATGTGCACGTGCCCAGTGTGAGTTTCAAGCCACCAGGTCCGGGACTGGAATCATGGTCAGCTATGTGGGAGTCCAACACCTTAACCACCATGCTACCTGCTGGTCCCCAAGCTTTGTATTTTTAAAAACAAATTGTTCTGTGACTACAAACCCCTGAATCAGCAGACCATAATAATCTGTAGTTGGCTAATGTTAATGTAGTAGCAGAAAAAAAACAAACCATCAGGGCTCCAAGTACAGTGGGCCACACCTAGTCAGTGGTCAAAATACAACCAAACAGCTCTTGCAGTTTCCAGGACCCAAGAAACTCACTGAAGAAATTCTTTCTGACTCATAGGTAATATAGTGGGCACAATGACCTGGAAATAGCCTCACTGAGCTGTTAGTCCCAGGAATCAATGTTAATTTATTATGCTTTATCTTTAAAAAAATCTGGGGTTGGCTCTATGGCCTGGTGGTTAAGGCAGCTGGATCTCACATGGCCAGTTGTGCTGTTTTAGTCCTGGACCCAGTGGCTTGAGAAACGTGCTGGGCACATGCATATGTGTGCCCAAAATCCCAAAAGGAAGAAGAGATAGAGAAGGACTTGCATCATGACCATGCTCCGTGGGGAATGCTTTCTCCTCTCCCTCTCTCTGTGTCTCTCTAGTGAGCTCATATGCTCTCTAGTACACACACATAGAAAAGAGAAATCTATATGCATGGTTACAATTTTTTTTAGAGGCTAGCAGGTGGGAATAGTGAAGGCTCTAGGCTCCCAAATGGCTGACCATAGTTTGAGTCCCGGAACTGATGGCTTGCTTTCTCATTTTCTCAATCCCTCTCTGTCTCTGTCTCTCTGTGGTTAGCACATGTGCCCTATAGCAAACTTAAAAATAATAATAAATTAATTTTAAAACATTTTAAGTTAAGAAATGAATAAAGTAAGAATTACACGTACCCTTTTCTTTCTTTCTTTTTTTTTTTAGAGAGAGTTTGTTTGTTTTTTTCTATAGGGCACATGTGCTTGCCAGAGAGATAGACAGAAACTAAGAAATTAAGAAATCACCTCCTAGTGGGAATGGCTACACTGAAATCCTTCTCCTCCATTCTCCTCTCAGGATTTTGAGCACGTGTGCACACATGCTTAGCGTGAAGCCACCAGGTCTGGCTCTTGAGCTGCAGTCGACTATGTGGGAGTCCAGCAGCATAACCACTATGCCATCTGGTGATCTCACAAGTATCCTTTTCTTTTCTTTTCTTTTTTCAGTCTCTTGTCTAATTTTATTTTTACCCTTCAACCATGATAATATCCAAATTTTGTCTTTAACTGGTGGGTCTGTAAACACAGGCTTATCCATCCCACTGACCAGCAAGGCAAATGCTGCTTCTTCTGGTCATCCAACCCAAGTTGTCCCCTTGCCTGGCTTTATCTTCACTATATTGCATGGCCATTTCACTGAATCTCATTCCAGACTTTAACTTTTCCATGGCTTCCATAATTTTGCTGTGTTTTTCACATAGAATGTGTCTGACCTTTATTGCATTGCCACCACCTTTGGGACTCTGAACCTAATTGTCAGCACTATCACTCCCAGACACTGCTCCCTCTTTACCCCCTTTTCCAGAACCTCTTTTTCCTCTGGGCAGCATCTTCAAGACTTGCTGATGAATAATCTACAAGTACCCTTTTCTTGTTCTTCTTTATTTTTTAAGGAGTTATTTATTTATTATTATTATTGTTAATATTATTTTTCACATGAGTTTTGCCAGAGAAAGGCAGAGAGAGAGAGGGAGGGAGAATGAGAAAGCAAGCCACCAGGTCCAGGACTCAAACCATGGCCGGCCATGTGGGAATTCCAACACCTTAACCACCATGCCATCTGCTGGCCCTACAAGTACCCTTTTCAGTCCTGATCTCTATCTCTTGCAGGTTACCTTAGCAACGTGCACATTGCTCTTTTTTTTGGCTATTATACAGTCAGTACTATGACATTTGTTTTGAGTTTTGTAACTTTGTAGCATTTTAGGTAAGTTGGTTTTGTACCTTGTGAACAGTGAAAGAACTGTGTTGGATTAGATACAGAAAAAAAAAAAAATTCTCCCAAATTAGTAACTGTTAAGTTTGGTGTATGTACTAGTCACTTGAAAAATATAAATAAGTACATATCTAATTTATTTATACTGATATAGATCTACATGTCCTTTTCTTAAAAAATTAATTAGGTCATGCTAACCAACCAAATATTACCTACTTGACCTTTTTCTTTTGTCTTTAGCTTTGTTAAGGTATAATTAACAAAGAGAAATTGTATATATTGATAGTGTATAATGTGATGTTTTGATATATGTATATGTTGTGAAATTATTAAATCAAGCCAATGAACACTCCTCACTTCACATATCACTTTTTTGGGGGTAAAACATTTCAAATCTATTCTCTTAGTGATTTTTCACATATAGATTATTACTAACTATAGTGGTAAGTTCTCTAGAGCCTAGTCTTCCTAACTGAAACTTTGTACTCTTGGACAAATATTTCCTCATTCCTCCCTTTCTCTTTTTATTTAGTAATGTATTCTAAATGTATTTCCCTGTCACTACATACGTATCTTTTCACTCTTATTTTCTATTTATTTTTAACAGCTGTGTAATTATTCCATTTTGTCATAATTTGCAGTTAACATTCTTGATCATATCCTTTCTTTCCTAGGATAAATTTATAGATGTAAAATTGTTAGGTAAAAGAGGAACTTATTTAATATTTTAAAAAGTTTTATCCAGGTGTGGTGACACCTGCTCTATGGCAAAAACTACTGGAGGCTGGAGGATTGTGGCATTGAGTCTATCTCTCTCTGTGTGTCTCTCTCAATGTGCACATTTAGGGCCAGCAGGTGGCACAGTGGTTAAGGTGCTGGGCTTCCACATGGCTGACTGTGGTTCAAGTCCTGGACCTGGTAGCTTGCTTTCTCACTTTCCCTCTCTCTCTGGTTAAATTAAGAAACAATAATAATAAATACAATTAAACAAATAATTCTTTTTTTTTTTTTTGAGAGGATTTTGCTATAGGGTGTGTGCGCTCGCCAGACAGAGAGAGACAGAAAGACAGAAAGCAAGAAATCACCCCCCAGGGGGGATGGCAACGCCACAACCCTTCTCCTCCATTCTCTCGGGATCTTGGGCACGCACACACATGCGCCTGGTGTGAGTTTAAGCCACCAGGTCTGGGACTTGAACTGCGGTGCGTTTGACTACATGGGAGTCCAGCAACATAGCCATTATGCTAACTGCTGGTCCCACGAATAATTCTTTTTTAAAATGGTTTTTCACAGCAGGTGGCAAGGTGGTTAAGGTTGCTGGACTCCCACATGACCGACTGTGGTTTAAGTCCTGGACCTGGCAGCTTGCTTTCTCACTTTTTCTCTCTTTCTCACTCACTCACTCTGTCCATCTCTGGTCAAAAAATTAAATGAATAAATGAATAAAGTTAAATAAAATAATTCTAATAAAAGTTTTTTCACATTTTATTGATTCACAAGGATCTTTTTTCTTAGAGAGTTTTTTTTTTTTTTTTTACTATAGGGTGGCTGTGCTCGTCAGAGAGACAGAGAGAGACAGAGTACAGAGTAACAGGAAGGGAGAAATCACCCCCTGACCAGCAGTTGCTGTAATGGCTATGTCGCTGGACTCCCGTGTAGTCAACCGCGGGTTAAGTCCCAGGCCTGGTGGCTTAAACTCATGCCTGGCGCAACTGTTTATGGTACCAGGCAATCTTTCTAAGTGCTTCTGTTGGCTTTCTTGATTTCTACCTTAGTTTTTAAGCTTTCTGGACATATCATCAGAAATTACATTCTAGTCAAAGACCTGGCAATAACTAGCATTTCCAATTTCTGATGTAAGGCAACAGACATTATTGAACTTATGCAAATAACCATTCTTCCATAAAATAAGAATACTGTCAAATATTTTCTAATACAAGAGGGGTCAGGAAGAGAGAAAATTTTATGTTCCAAAAACAATTTAACAAATTGCTGAACCTATCAAGAGCTCAAAAGAAGACAAAAATCCTTAAATCCAGAAAACAAAGCATAGAAGAAAATCAGTAATGTTTTAGTCAAAAGTCATAAAATTCTGTTTCACCAGTTCAGTCTTATGTAATTAATCTCTCTTCTGTTGAATTTGCAGTGTTACTATGGTCCAGTCTTTCCATTTAAATTCTGGAAGTTAACATTCAATGTTATTATTAATCTTTTTGAAGACTTGCCTCTACCATTAAATTGGCCATTTTCTTGGTTGTTTTTTGTACTTTTATTTCTGTGTGTCTGCCTTTAGTTTTCCTGATATAGCACTCCCTTCAGAACTTCTTGGAGAGCTGGACTGATGTTGATAAAATCTTTCAGGTTTTGTTTATCTGAGAGTGTTTTCTTCCCATATACAGGATAATCTTGCTGGGTATAGTATTCTTGGTTGAAATTGTTTTTCACTTAACACTTTGAATATATTTTCCCATTCTTCCCTTGCTTGCATTATTTCTAATGAGAGGCACGATATTACAAAGAATTCTTTTTAAAAAGTTTTTAGTTTTATTTATTCTATGAATGAGAGAGACAGACAGAGAGAGAGAGACAAAGATACAGCACTCTTGACAAGATCTCAATGCCACAATCCACTTACAGCTCCAGCCTGCCCCAGATTATAGACATACATGTACCGGTGTACTCAGGGAGGTCTGTTGGTGTGATCAGTAGCCTTTCCTTATGCATCTGTTTCAGAGCATCATGTTTTACCACTGTGCTGTCAGCCTCTAATGTTTTAACAGATAGTCCCAATTTAACCTACAAAAATACTGTACTAATTTATATTTTCAGAGTTATATATGAGCCAGAAATACTGACTTTAAATATATTTCCCCAAGCATATCACACAGTCCTTGGGTTATTAAAATAGAAAATATACCTTTAATACTTTCCTAGTGTGCTTTGTACCTCACATATCACGTATTCCCTTCTGTGAAAGTTAAATACACACTCGTTTTCTCTCTCCTCCTAGAGTTCTTTGAGACAGAGATTTTCATTATGTGCATTTTTATGTTCCTGAAAGAACCTTGCATAAAGTCAGTACTCAATAAGCACTTTGTTGAACGTCATTTTCTAAATATATTTTACCCTTGGATAAAACATAGATTGTAGCCAAAACTGTCCAAGGATTAGTCATCAGTGATTCACAATTATGCAACCAAGAAGTAGTCCTAAACTTTAGTTGTTTCTTGGTAGTTTAGTGTCAAAGTTTGCTTCCCTTGGGCACGCTTGAAAGAGTGGTTGGTTGGTTATTTAACTTTACTGATTTTCTCTGTGGAATTTCTTTACTTTTTACTGTTAATGTGAAAGGTACTTTTTATGGATAAGAATATACTTACTGTGTACAATTTAAAAGGAACTATTCTCAGGGTGGATTCTTCAGCTACAGCAATTTTTTCCTCTACCAATAAGCAACAAAAAATAGAAACAGAAAATATCTTGGGTCCATGTGAGTTTGCAAAGTTGCTTTATTTTTTATTTATTTTTTATTTTTTAGTAGTTTGCTATAGGGCATGTGCCTGTGTGCTTGCCAGAGAGAGACTGAGAGACAGACAGACAGAGAGGGAAAGTGAGAAAGGGGGGTGGCTACACTGCAATTCCTTCTCTTCTATTCTCTTGGGATTTGGGGGTTGCAAATGCGCCTGGCGTGGTTTTCAAGCCACTGGATCCAGGACTCAAAGCACACTGCTGGCAGTGTAGGATCTAGCTGCCTTAACCTCCAGGCCATCTGCTGTCTCGCATAGCTGCCTTTTAATTTATTTTCATAGTGTCCATGATTTTATATTTTTCTTATCTACAGGATTCCTGCTATTTATTCTCAAGGGAACATTAGTTTTTGTTATTTTTTTAAGAGAGATTTTTACTATAGGGTGCATGTGCTCACTGGAGAGACAGAGAGACAAAAAACAAGAAATCATCCCCCAAAGGGGATGACCACACTGTAATCCCTTTTCTTCCATTCTCCTCTCAGAATTTTGGGTATGCACGCACATGCGCCCAGTATGAGTTTTAAGCCTCTGGGTTTGGTACTCAAACCATGGTTCACTGTGTAGGAGTCCAATGACATAACCATTATACCATCTGATGGTCCCAGAATATTAGTTTTTAATGTTTGCTAAGAAACTTGACTCCCTTACTCCTAGGCTTATTACGCAGTGTATTAGAGTAACACGAGCTGCCATTGCAAACTTCAAATTTTCAGTAGCTAAATAGGGTACAAATTTATTTCTCACTTATAGTCTCATGTAGTGGTCCTTGGTTGGTAGGTATCTTTTCTCCATCAGAAATTGGAAATGCTAGTTATTGCCAGGGCTTTGACTGGAATGTAATTTCTGATGATATGACCAGAAAGCTTAGAAACTAAGGTAGATATCAAGAAAGCCAACAGAAGCAGTGATTCAAGGATCCAGGCTTCTCCATTTTGGAATCTTTCCAAGCACAAGGGAGAAAGGAAATGGAGAACTCACTTTTTAACTGTTTTGGCCTAGCAGAAATACATATCGCATCCCCTAACATTCCATTGTAAGCCCCAGTCTTGACTCTACCTACATAGAAGGGAGGATAGAAATGCAGAACTTGGCAGCCACCTCCCAGCAACACTCCACCATATATAAGAGCACTTTTTTTGTTGTTGTTGTTGGCCAATTAGCTGATTTTTACAACCACATATTAAGTAGGCAGAACAGGTTTGAATTTTGTAGATAAACAAAGAAGACTGAAAAATTGATATCTCACAGCTAGTTAGTGGTGGAAATGAATGCAAGTTAACTGCCAGATTATTTTTAGTTAGTTCATCTTTCCTTAATATTACAAAGTGACCTATCTTGGCTTAAAATATAACCCTATTGGTGATTCATTACTTTAAATTGCATACCATACTTTTAAAAAAGTTCTTCTTTTCTCTCAGGATCAATAATGTCCCTGTATTGTGGAATAGCATGCAGGAGAAAATCTTCTTGGTGCTATAGGCTGCTGTCAACCTATGTAACTAAGACACGGTGAGTGTTGACCAACCTGGGCTCTGATGAGTCTATCTTTGGCCTATTAAATTATAAAGTCTAAATATTTTCTATTTATATATATTTAAGAAAAAAGGCTAAAATTAGTAGATTGACTCGAAGTCAATATGTACTAGAAGTATTAATACATAACATTAATAGTTTAGAGAATTCAAAGTATGAATGGTGACCTGAGTGGTAGGATTGCTGATGACTTCCCTTTTTAAAATAATAGATAATTGGGACAGGGCCGGCAGGTGGCATGGTGGTTAAAGGCACTGGACTCCCCCATGGCCGACTATGGTTCGAGTCCCAGACCTAGTGGCTTGCTTGCTTTCTCTCTCTCTCTTTCTCTCTGTTCCTCTCTGGTCAAATTAAAATAAAATAAAAAATAATAAAGATTAAAAATAAAACAATTCTTGAAAAAAATAGATAATTGGGGACCAACCAATGGCATAATGGTTATGTCACCAGACTCCCACATAGTCAACTGAGGTTTGAGTCTTGGACCAGGTGACTTAAAACTCATGCTGGGTGTGTATGTGTGTGTGTGTATGTGTGTGTGCCCAAGATCCTGAGAGGATAATGGAGGAGAAGGGAATACAGCGTGGCCATCCCCCTGGAGGGGGGGGTGTGATTTCTTGCTTTCTATCTCTCTGTCCAGTGAGTGCACATGCCCTATAACAAAAATCTCTCTAAAAACAAAAAGAAAAGGGGTAATTGTATTTTCTGATGTTTAAAGAATGACTATTTTTACTGTTATAGTAAGAAAAAACAGATAGGGATAGGCAAACAGGTGGCATGGTGGTTGGGCGCACTGGATTCCCACATGGCCAACTGTGGTTTGAGCCCTGGACCTGGTAGCTTGCTTTATCACTTTCCCTTTCTCTCTCTCTCTCTCTCTCTGTCTCTGGTCAAATTTTAAAAAATAATAACAAGTGGAATTAAATAAATAATTCTTAAAAAGAAGAAAACACGGGGACCAGCACGTGGCATAGTGGTTAAGGCTCTGGACACTCCCACATGGCTGACCAGGGTTTGAGTCCTGAATCTGGTGGTTTGCTTTCTCACTTCCTCTCTCTCTCACTCTCACCCTCTCTCTCTGGTCAAATTAAAAAAATAAATGAATAAATAAATAAATAACAAAATAAATAATTATTAAAAAAGAAAAAACAGATGAAGTTTAAAACATAATTGAAATATTTTCAACCTTGATAGCCTTAACGTAGTAATGGCCATGCTATTATTACTAAAGGGAAAAAATAAATAAAAAAAAAAATAAAGTTCCTGTTCAAGATGAATGTAAGGAAGTTTTGGATCTCTGTTCTAGTTCTAGTGAGGCCCTGGGTATAAGGCCTTAACCTGTTTTTGTAGGTGTTTTGTTTTTTAGGGTCATTAGGGCAAAGCACAGGTTGTATCACTTTTACTGTTCTTTTACGAAGGCAGCAGTGTTTGTTCTATTGTTTATATTTGGTAACTTCTGAGTGGCACATGTCTCTGACATACACTGAGCCTGCCTCAGGAGGCTGCAGTCACTCACAATACATTTTAAAATATCCTGAGTCTTAAAAGATCAGGTTCCTTTTGCCTTCGCTATATAAAAAACTCATTGTAACCCCTTTTATCACACAGTCAAAACAGAAGCCTTAAGAAGCCACTTTGTGCATTTGTTATTTTGCTTTGTGTGCTCATGTTGAGCCAACTCTGCTATTGGTGTTACAAAAGTTCTGTGACCAGCAATTGGCATAATGGCTGTGTACTGCAGTTCGAGTTCGGACCCGGTGGCTTAAACTCATGCTGGGCGCCTGTGTGTGCCTGCCCAAGATGTATAGGGGATAATGGAGGAGAGGGGATTGCAGCATGGCCATCCCCCGTAGGGAGTGATTTCTTGCCTTCTGTCTCTCTGTCTTTCTCTGTCTTTCTCTTTCTGGTGAGCACACATGCCCGGTAGCAAAAACCTCTCCAAAAAAAAGAAAAAGTTCCCAGATCCTACAGAAAACGTGTATAAACTAGTTTTCCCACTTCTGTGATGAAATATGCCATATGCCTGAGGGTCTTTTAGGTTTATTAATTTTTTCCCCTGAGAGAGACACAGAGACAGAGAGAGTAGGAGAGAAAGCAAGCACCCCACAATGGGGCATGGCCACGCTGCACTTCCTTCTCCATTTCTCCATCCTGTTGAGATTTGGGGTCATTATGCACACACATGCAACATGTTTTTCGAGCAGGAATAGGATTTGAACTATGTGGTTGGCCATGTAGGATCCAGTCTCTTAACCACCAGGCCACAGGACAGACCTAGTTAAAGGATTTTTCACAGGTAAAATGGTACCTTTAAGGCCCCTAGGAGAGTCCTAGGGCTATACTCACATAATAAAGTGGACCCTGACTTGATTCCCAAGGTTCTTGAAGAGACTTAGATTATCCTTGATGAAGTACTGGAAAAGCCTTGAAATTGCTTTTTTCTTTTTTTTTTTAATTCTGTATAGAGTATGTGTGCTCACTGGAGAGAGGCAGAGTGAGAGCGAGATAAGAAAAATGAGAAAGCCCCCGCCCCCACCCCTCAACAGGAGATGGTCACATTGCAATCACCTTTGCCTCCATTCTCCCTTAGGGATTTTGGGCATGCATGCTCATCCACCAGCATGTTTTCCAAGCTTCCGGGTCTGGGACTCGAGCCACACAGTTGGTCTTCTTTCACATTTTTATTTTGTTACCGAAAATATTATCCTAATAAAATAGGTCAAGTAAAGGATTCATCAGTAGTCCCTTGAATAGAGATAAGGAACTTATGATGCCTGGTTTGGTCTAGATATTTGAAACAAGAGTGCATTGAAGGTAAAATTTGTTCTTTCTCTTCCCTAGATCGAGAGTTGCTGAAGGTACACTGTTTGCTCTTTGAGTAATAAAGTCTGCTTCTATCTCTAGGTATTCTGTGGTTGACATTTTATCACTGTACTTGTTTTCCTTTCACTCCACTGCATGTAGATTCTTGCCTCACAGTGTAATATTGGCAAAGTACCTTGAGGTTCAATTCGGTAAATATTTTTTACCTTTGAAGTTCAATAAATATTTATTGAATTGAGCCATTCAATATGTTACAACTGAGATGTGGAGCTGAGTAAGGCAGACCCTGCCCTGAAGAAGATCATAGTCTTTCAGAGGAAACAGACAAATGAATATGTACTATTATAATTCATCCACAGAAATATAGATAAGGTAGGCAATAAGACAAAGCAGGGAATAAATAGTTGCCTACAGCCACCTCAAATCCTTTTTGGAGCTAATTAGGATATAATAAAGGGAAATATATCCATGATGGGAGGAGGGATACAGGAACAAAATTCTCAAAGATGAGTGCTACACAAGTAACTAAGTGTGGTTTCATAATACTTTTATTATTTTCCAATTATAGGTATTTATTTGAACTGAAAGAAGATGATGATGCTTGTAAAAAGGCCCAGCAGACAGGCACATTTTACCTCTTTCATAGTCTCGCTCCTTTGCTTCAGACATCAACAAATCAATACCTGGCCCCGCGGCATAGCCTATCAGGTAAGCCAAAAGTGGACCAGCCAGTGGCCACTAAACAGAATTCAGTCCACGCTAACTGTCTGAGAAAGATCCTTGAACTTTAGAGCTCAGATTTTTCAGACAGCTTCTGAGTCTCAAGCTTGTCTAACTACTTTTGCCAATTATAACTTATTGTTATGAACCCCAACTGTTCAGTCAAATATTATTGGGTGATGAGATGAACCACACTGATGCCTTAAACCACAGCTCAGCAAAACTGCTGTCCAAATGGGTGTGCCACCTGCTTTGTAAATAGACTGTTATTGAAGCAGGAGCTATGTTCGCTTGTTTACATATTGTCTATGGCTGCTTTTGCACTACAGTGGCAGAGTTGAGTTGTAACAGAGACAGGATAGCCTGAAATTTTTCTTTTTAGAGAGATTTTAAGGTGTGTGCGCTTGCAGGAGAGAGAGAGAGAGACAGAGACAGAGAGACAGAAAGTGAGAAATCATCCCCCAAGTGGTATGACCATGCCACAATCCCTTCTTTTCCATTCTCCTCTTGGGATTTTAGGCACACACGCACATGCGCCCAGCATGAGTTTAAACTGCCAGGTCCAGGACTCAGACCACAGTCAACTATGTGGGAGGCCAGCGACATAACCATTATGCCATCAGCTGCTTCCACAACCTAAAATTTTTAGTATTTCTTTAAGGAATAAATTTGGCAACATCTGCATTAGACTAGTGATTTCCAGTCTCCATGGAGTTGCACACTGTTACACTATTGAAGATACTGCATCATTAACTTCATTTTACTAGAAGGAACAAAATTAAAAGTGAATTAAAATTATTTTTGAGAATGCTTTCAGCAAATGTAACTAAAGATAGCTAAGTTAGTGGGATTTGACATTCTAAATACTTTCAATTTTGTATGATGTCACTATATGCTAACTAACTTCCAAACACATAGCCAGTCGATTTCCTCCATGAGTCAGATGTTGGAGTACTTGGATAGGTAGTTTCCAGTAGTGCAAAAGAAAACAAGAATTCTTCAGAAGGTACAAAACATTATTTAGAGATTTAGCAATGTTATGTTGTATTATGAACAAATATGGGTCTTTCATGCACAGGGGGACAGGTTTTCTTCCCACACTGTTCTCGTCTTTTACAGGCTAGATCTCAGATGAGTATTCCACTTTGGCTACAATCTAGCACTAGACGACTTCTTTCATTTTAAATGATATACTTATTTTTTTTTCAGTGCCTTAGTAAGTTAGCTATCATGCATCATATGAACTACAGGATAGGTTCTCTTCATGATATAATCACAGACTAATACAATATACATAGACAGAATTCCTTGTTTGGTCTAATCTCTCAGATTGCTGAAGAGAAAACTGAGGCCTAACAAGGTTAAGTGATTAGACCAAGGTTATACAACTAAGTAACTGCAGGGCAGCCACTGGTAGCCAAGTATACCTACTTTAAGCTAAAGGAAAAGATTTTTCTACAAATGTAATATGGCTGTAGTGATTTAATTGAAACCTTTTCCCCCCCTCCCTTCTCCATTCTGTTTCTTAGAACTGGAAAGACTCCTGAGTAAGTTTGGACAGGACTCACAAAGATTAGAAGATTCTGTGCTGATTGGATGCTCTGAACAACATGAAGCATGGTTTGCTCTGGATCTAGGTCTGAATAGCTCCTCGTCCTTTGGTGGTACATAACACTGTTATGTTCTTTTTTTTTTTCTTTTTGGAGAGGTTTTTGCTATAGGGCACGTGCGCTTGCCAGAAAGACAGAGAGAGACAGAGAGATAGTGAGAAATCACCCCCCAGGGGCAATGGCCATGCAACAATCCCTTCTTCATTCTCCTCTTGGGATTTTGGGCATGCATGCACACGTGCCCGGCATTGAGTTTAAGCCACTGGGTCTGGGACTCGAACTGTGGTCTACTACATGGGAGTCCAGCGACATAGCCATTATGCCAACTGCTGGTCCCAACATTGTTATGTTCTAATGGGTACTTCCCAGTAGTTCTCAGATTTTGGGAATTCACATTCTAGTAAAGTTTCAAAGAGAAATTGGGTAATATACATTTTTTTAACTCTTTTTATTATTATTATTTTAAAATTTTGCTATAGGGCATGTGTGGTCACAAGAGAGAGAGGGAAAGTGAGAAAGCAAGCCACCAGGTTCAGGACTCAAAACTGCAGTGGTTCATGTCCAGCATCTTAACCACCACGCCACCTATTGGTCCCAATACAAACTGTTTTTAAAGTAAGAACTTAAAAAATACCCTCATTATCATTTAAAAGAAAGGACATTTTAATGTTCTAAACATCTGTGGATACACACATGCTTATTATATTATCCTCTGTATTATTCTCTGTGGCTTCATACACTTTTCAGTCTTAATATTTCTTAAGAAATGTTTTAAAATTCATGACATAATTCTTATTTCTCTTATCAATGCAAACAAATTAAAATGTTACCTTGTGGGACAGCAGGTGGCATGGAGGTTAAGGTACTGGATCTCACACAGTCATCTGGTTGGTTCAAGTCCTGGACCCTGAGGCTTGAAAATCATGCCCGGTGTGTATGTGCCCAAAATCCTGAGAAGAGAAGGGATTATGGTATGGCCATCCTCCTGAGGGGTGATTTCCCTGTTCTCCCTGTCACTCCGTGGCAAGAAAATGTGCCCTAAAGCAAAAAAATAAATAAATAAATAAATAAAATAAACTTGGTGTAATTCTGAGTCCTTAGACCAACATTTGGAAACCACTGTGTTACAGGTTCATGGCTCTTATCAGGCTTCCATTCTCTCTTTAAGAGTGTAGGTGTAAATATAATGATGCTGGAATGGGATTCAGGTAGGAACTTAGAGGTCCTATTTCATCTCTTATCTAGGGATAGTGTTTGGCTAATGCAAATGTTCTTATTGCCCTGAAGAGGATTTTTAAAAATACGGTGTTCTAGTGTTTCCCAAACTGGTCTGAATCTAAGAATCACCTGGTGCTTATTAAAACAATAGACTTTGGGCCCTTATTCCACATCTGTTGCTTTGGAATCTCCAGGAGGGGGCTCAACTTTCTCCAGTTGAATCTTACTAGGCAAGTTTGGGAAACACTGTTGTAAAAGGATAGACTACAGAGGGGCTGGGTTTGACGTTTTAAAATTTCTCTTTTCTAGCCTCCTTACAGAAACTTGAAATGGAAACAGAGCTCCAGGGATCTTTCATTGAGATGAGGAAGGCTCTTTTTCAGCTGAATGCAAAGGATGCCTCCTTGTTATCCATGGTAGATTCTGATTTCTCAATTCTATAGGAAATGTAATAACAGTATATGGGAGGACTTCAAAAAGTCTGTGGAAAAACAGAATTTATGAGTTTGATGCAAATTTTTTTCTATAATAGGCATTTTTTATGAACTTTCTGAAGACCCCTTCACATACGCAAATCCATGTAACATATATACAAGGCTAGCGTGACACTTGATTTTTTTCTTTTGCTGATTACAGTCTCTTCATACACACCTTGGCAGAATGATAGTGTGCTACAGAAAGATTGCTTTCTCTTCCTTCTCTTGTTTTTAGCAGAAATCCTGTCAAGACCATTTTCTTCCAAGGACATAGAGATTTATGCCAACAGGATTTATCAGTCTCATAAACATTTTTAATGACCTACAGTGTGACATATACAAAAAGTTTGTGGATGATGCATATTATGAAAAAACTATGCACCAAATAAACTCATATTTCAGTTCCATTTTTCTACAAACTTAAAAAAATGTTTTCTTAGTTATCAGAGGGCTGATATGCTCATCAATGAGAAAGAGAGAGAGAAATAGAGGGCGAAAGCATCCCCCGAAGGAGCATGGTTACACCACAATCCTTTCTCCATTTTTCTATCCTGTTGGGATTCTGCACATGCACACACACACGGCTAGCATTTCCATAGACTTTTTCTTTTTTTTTTTTGGAGAGGTTTTCTTGCTATAGGGCACGTGCACTCACCAGAAAGAGAAAGACAGAAGAACAGAAAGCCAGAAATCACCCCCAGGGGGGATAGCCACACCGCAATCCCTTCTCCTCCATTCTCCTCTCAGGATCTTGGGCACACATGCACATGAGCCCAGTCTGAGTTTAAGCTACCAAGTCTGGGACTTGAACTACAGTCGACTACATGGGAGTCCAGCAACATAGCTATTACACCAACGGCTGGTCCCTCCACAGACTTTTTGAAGTCCCATTGTACATCTGATTTTTCCTAAGAAATTCATTATTATTTTAATTTTTTTGCTATAGGACATGTACACTCACCAGATACAGACAGAAGGAAAGTGAGAAATCATGCCCCCTACAGGGAATGACTACTCCATAATCCCTTCTCCTCCATGTCTTCTTAGGATTTGGGGCACACATGCACATATACCCAGTATGTTTTTCAAGCTGCTGGGACTGGAACTCACATCATGTAGTTGATCATGTGGGTTCCAGCTGCCTTCACCATCTGTTAGCCCCCTCTGAGAAATCATTTTGCATTGTTTTAGTGACTTGTTCTCACAGCTTTAAGTTTTACTTTCTAATTTCAATCATCCATTTAATTTAAAAAGAAACCTCTAAACATTTTTTAGAGAAAAAATTCCAATGGGGGAGAATGTTCAACTATTTTGGAAATGTTTTATTTTTAAACTGGGTAGTGAGCATGGGTATTCATTATATTTAAATATTTTCTGTTTTAAATAATTCATAATACATTAAGAAATATACTTTCTTTTATTTAGGTTTCTGATGCTAGAGGAATATGTCCAGATAATTTCCTTACCTTAAACAGTTACAACCTTTAAAAGTAGATGAGCTAGCCCAGCCTCTGGCATGGTAGTTAAGACACCCGTGTGGCTGGCTGTGCAGTTCAAGTCCTGGATCCAGTGCTGGAAAAACATGCCAGGCACAAAAGTATATGTGTGTGGGTACCCAAAATCCTGAAAGGAGGAAGAAATGGAAAAGGGACTGTGGCATGACCATTCCCCATGGGAGGTGCTTTCTCATTTTCCTCTTTCTCTCTGTCCTATTGGCTTTCTCTGGCAAGCACATGCACCCTCTGGCAAAATTAAAAAATAAGGAAATAAATAAAATAAAGCAGGTGGCTTGGAAAAGGATTGGCATCTCACCGTGAGTTGTTCTAGACACTACGTCAAATGACATTATCAAGCCCCATATTCTCTTCAAACAAAACCAGACCCATCTTTGTATTCCTAGGCTCAGGCTCTTCTCCGTTGGCATGATGCTCATCAGTTCTGCAGCAGAAGTGGGCAGCCCACCAAGAAGAACATGGCTGGCAGCAAGCGTGTGTGCCCTTCCAGTAAGATCATCTATTATCCTCAGGTAAGTATTGCTTTAAGAGGATGGCAACCCGAAGAGGAGGCATTGTACTGTTCTGTCCTGGGGAAGGAAGCCTGAACAATCAGGCTTAATTACCCATTCCTCTGGCCCCTTTCCTAGATGGCGCCTGTGGTGATCACTCTGGTGTCAGATGGTACGCGATGCCTGCTTGCCCGCCAGAGCTCCTTTCCCAGGGGAATGTATTCTGCCTTGGCAGGTTTTTGTGATATAGGTAAGGAGTTCAGGCGATGTACAGGTGACACTGGAGGACATAAAAACTTATTAATAGGTATTTCTCCATCTTGTTGGCACAATGGTTAGAATCTCAAGCCCATTCTTCCCTATCAGTTAAGAAAACTAAAAGAAGACATTGTAATTTTCCAGTGTTTTTATTAGGCAAATTTTCTTTTTTTTCTTATTAATTTTTAAAAAATTTTTGAGAGGTTTTTGCTATAGGGCACATGCGCTTGCCAGAAAGACAGAGAGAGTCAGAGAGACAGAAAGCGAGAAATCACCCCCCCAGGGAGATGGTCATGCCATGATCCCTTTTCTTCCATTCTCCTCTCAGTATCTTGGGCATACAGGCATGCACACATGCCCGGTGTGAGTTTAAGCCACCAGGTCTAGGACTCGAACCATGGTCAACTACATGGGAATCCAGTGACATAGCCATTATGCCAACTCCTGGTCTGCAAACTTTCATTTTTAAAACTGAGAATTATTTATTTAATTCCATTTGTTATGATTATTATTATTTAATTTGACCAGAAAGAGAGAGAAAAGGAAAGTGAGAAAGCAAGCCACCAGGTCTAGGACTCAAACCGCTGCCAGCCATGCGGGAGTCCAGGGTCTTAACTACATGGCAAATGCTGGCCCCACCAGCAAATTTTCAAATATACAGCATAGGTGAAAGAATTATAGTGACCACTCTACACCTACTATTTAGATTCAATAACATTTTTCTTTTTCTTTTTTTATTTTTTATTTTTGAGAGGTTTTTACTATAGGGCGTGTGCACTAGATGGAAATACAGAGACGGAGACAGAAAGTGAGAGTTCAGCAACTGCAATCCTTTCTCCTCCATTCTCCTCTCAGGAACTTAGGCACACACGCACACACACCTGGCGTGAGTTTAAGCTGCCAGGTCCAGGACCAAAACACGGTTGACTACATGGGAGTCCAGTGACGTAACCATTACACCATCTGCTGGTCCCATATACCTTTTAATTAATTACTTTAGCACATTATTTGTTAATGTATCAATCCATCTATCCATCTTTTACAGTAGATAGTAAACATGTCAACTAGAATTGAATACTTATTCACAGGTTGGATTTTTCAGTTTGTTGGGGTAAAATCTGCAAATAGTGAAACCTGGAATTTTATTCCAGTTGAGGGCAGCAGTAGCATCTCCAACTACCACTCTTACTTTGCAACTCTGGAGCCAATTTTGCGCTCCTTTCACAAATGGACTATCTGTATCACCCTTCCTGCTACAGGGCTGTCCTGAATTAATCTGAGTGCTTGTAGGTGAAAGTCTGGAAGAGGCTGTCCGGCGGGAAGTTGCAGAAGAAGTTTTTTGAGAGGTTTTTACTATAGGGCGTGTGCACTAGATGGAAATACAGAGACGGAGACAGAAAGTGAGAGTTCAGCAACTGCAATCCTTTCTCCTCCATTCTCCTCTCAGGAACTTAGGCACACACGCACACACACCTGGCGTGAGTTTAAGCTGCCAGGTCCAGGACCAAAACACGGTTGACTACATGGGAGTCCAGTGACGTAACCATTACACCATCTGCTGGTCCCATATACCTTTTAATTAATTACTTTAGCACATTATTTGTTAATGTATCAATCCATCTATCCATCTTTTACAGTAGATAGTAAACATGTCAACTAGAATTGAATACTTATTCACAGGTTGGATTTTTCAGTTTGTTGGGGTAAAATCTGCAAATAGTGAAACCTGGAATTTTATTCCAGTTGAGGGCAGCAGTAGCATCTCCAACTACCACTCTTACTTTGCAACTCTGGAGCCAATTTTGCGCTCCTTTCACAAATGGACTATCTGTATCACCCTTCCTGCTACAGGGCTGTCCTGAATTAATCTGAGTGCTTGTAGGTGAAAGTCTGGAAGAGGCTGTCCGGCGGGAAGTTGCAGAAGAAGTGGGATTGGAGGTGGACAAACTGCAGTACTCGGCATCCCAGCACTGGCCCTTTCCCAATAGCTCACTCATGATTGGGTGTCACGCAACTGTGAAACCAGGGCAGACAGAGGTAAGTCCTTATGTTTGTCTGTATTTCATATTTCCTTTGCTGCATCCAATCTGCTGGTAACAAGTATTTACTAAGCACCTATCTAAGTCTAGCATTGTCTAGATTATACAGAGATATGTAAATTACAATTTAAACCCATAAAGGAAACACATTCTCTTTTGCTTATATCTCAGTCATGAGACAATTCTTTTATTTTCAACCACTTTATTGAGGTATGATTAATATACAAAAAGCTATAGATAATTAATGTATAGAACTTAATGCATTGGGAGGTAAATATAAACCCACAAAACCATCAAACCATCACTACTATCAATACTATAAATTTCCCTCTCCCTACAGCCTCTGGCAAGCACCAGAGTATTCTCTACTAAGTTTTAGTTTCCACGTGTAGTGAGATCATACAGTATTTGTTTGTCTGGCTTATCTCACTTAGCATGTCCTCTAGCTCCTTCCATCTTGTTGCAAATGCAGAATTTCCTTCTTGTTTTTAAGGTTGAATAATATTCTATTGTACATATACACACATTTTCTTTATCCTTCGATGCAGTGATGGACATTCCATATCCTGGCTATTGTAAATAATGCTCCAGTGAACATAGAAACACAGATATCTCTTTGAGATCCAGATCTCATTTCCTTGGATCAGAAAAGGGATCCCTTTTCCCCACAGTCTTGCAAACACTTGTTCTCTTTTGCTTTTTTGGTAACAGTCATCCTAGCAGCTATACGGTAATCGTATTGTAGTTTCAATGTGCATTTCCCTAATGATTTGAATACTGTTTCATATACGTGTTGGCCATTCGTACGTCTTCTTTTGAGAAACCCCTATTTACATCCTTTGCTTTTTTTTTTAAAGACAGTGTCTCTCCATGTTGCTGTCTTCCTGCCTCAGCCTCTCAGCTAGATCTAAAGATGCATGCCACTAAACATGACTTTTAAAGACAAATGGGCCAGCAGATGGTGTGGCAGTGAAGGCCCAAGACTCCCCCATGGCCGACTATGGTTTGAGTCCTGTACTTGCTTTCTCACTTTCTCTCTCTGTGTCTCTCTCTGGTGAGCTCATGTGCCCTATACATTTTTTTAAATAATAACAATAATAATAATAATAATAATGTGGGGATTAGCCGGTGGCATGGTAGTTAAGGCACTTGACACTAACACAGGGCCAACCATGGTATGAGTCCCAGACCTAGTAGATTGCTTTCTCACTTTCTCTCTCTTTGATCAAATTAAAAATAAGTGAATAAATACATAAAGTTAAATAAATAATTCTTTTTAAAAAGAACCAAATAAGTAATTATTTTACATTTTTAAGAGAGTTTTGCTGTAGGATATGTACGCTTGTCATAGAGACAGGCAGAGATGGAGAGAAAGTAAGAAATTTTCCCCCAGAGGTAAGACCATGCTATGATCTCTTCTCCTATTGGGATTTATTTTTCCTTAGAATTATTTTATTATTTACTTTTAAAATTTTGACAGAGAGGGAGTAAATGAGAGAGAGAGAAAGAGGAAGAAAAAGTGAGAAAGCAAGCTGCCAGGTCCAGGACTTGAACCTCGGTCAGCCATGTGGGAGTCCAGCACCCTTAACCACCATGCCACCTGCTGGCCCTGTCTCCTCTTGGGATTTTGGGCACACATGCACATGTACATGCACCCAGTCTGATTTCAAGCTGCTGGGTCCAGGATTCAAACCTTGGTTGGCATGTAAGAGTCTAGCACCTTAACCACTATGCCACCTGCTGGTCCCCAAATAACTAATTCTTAAAAAACAAGCAACCGAACAAAAACAGGGTCTTACTTTATTATCCAGGAGCCCCTTGAGCTCACTATCCTCCTGCCTCAACCTCCCTGTGTTCCTTGGGATCATAGGTATATGCCACTGTACCTGACCTTTGGTTGTACCAGGAATCAAACGTGGGCCTCCCATGTGGTTCCAACTTGCAAAGCATAGTCTCTTAGCAGCATATGCCACTGCAGCTGGGATCTTTGTCTTTTTTTTTTTTTTAAGTTGCCAGAAGGTACATACACTGGCCACAATCCCTTCTCTTCCATTTCTTTATCCTATTAGATTTGGGGCACACACACACACACACACACACACACACACACACACACACATGCCTGACATGTTTTTCAAGCTGCCAGGGCTGCAATTTGAACTGTAGTCAGCCATGTGGGACCTGGCTCCCTTTACTGATAGGCTGCAGGGTTCAGTGCACCACTATCCATTTTAAATCAGGTTGTTTTCTTGCTATTGAGTTCCTTATATATTTTGTATATTAACCCCTTATTAGATACATGGTCTTTAAATATTTTCTCCTGTTCCATAAGTTTTCTCTTCACTCTTTTGAGTAAATCCTTGGCTGTGCAGAAGCTTTTTAGTTTGACATAATCCTACTTGTCTATTTTTGTTTTCATTCTCTTCTTTTGGTATCATAAAAAATCATTGCCTAGCCCAATATCTAGTATTTTATTCCTTATTTTTTCTCCTGAGAGTTTTACTGTTTCAAGTTTCACATTTAAGTCTTTACTACATTTTGAAGTGTTTTGTTTTTGTTTTATATGTTATGTGAAATAAGGGTACAATATCATTCTTTTGCATGTGGATATCCAATACTCCCCATCCTTTTTGAGACTTATCTATCAGGATTTAAGGGTATCTTACACATAAAAGAGCAGCATAATTAATATATCAAATTCAGTGACTGATTTCAAGATTGGCCTTATAGCTCAAGTTGGTCAGAATGCTAGGGACTAATATAGCAACTTTTGGTTGAAATAGACTTTGACATCTTATCCAACCTCATCTTGCTTTTTAGTAGTATCCCTGATACATGGTTCTTACCTGACAAGTCTGTCTATTGCGTGCTTTATTATTTTATAGAATATTGAATCTATCTCAGATTCCTGTGGGTGAATTTTGCATTACTTTGCTTCTTAAATAAGATACTAAGTTTCTGATTATCATTAACTTTACTCTTTAAACAAGAGTAACACTTGTATGTTCTCTTTGTGTACACAACAAAATTTAAGTGTTATTCACTTAAATTTACTTCTCAGTGTTAACCATTCTTAACATGTTAATACATATACTTCCAAGGTTAAAAAAAATAATTAATTCCTTCCATGAGAGTGGGAGAGGCAACCCCCAACAGGGTCTTTATGTTGTGATCCAACACCAGTCTCAGCCGGCCAAGATCCCAAGCACGTATGCGCATGCACAGTGTACATGGGAAGGCTCTGGTACATGAACAGGTGACCTTCCCATGCAAGTCCACCTATAACATTGCACCACCATCTGGTGCTACTTCTAGGATTTTAAAAATATATCTTACTTTTTTTTTTTTAAATTAAACACTACTTTTTATTAATGTATTTCTTTTAAAATACTTATTATTATTTTAAAATTTGACCACAGACACAGAGAGAGAGGGAAAGTGAAAAAGCAAGCCTCAGGACCAGCAGTTAGCGTAATGGCTATGTTGCTGGACTCCCATGTAGTCGACCACAGTTCGAGTCCTGGACCCGGTGGCTTAAACTCACGCCAGGCGCATGTGCATGCATGCCAAAGATCCTGAGAGGAGAATGGAGGAGAAGGGATTGCGGTGTGGCCATCCCCCCTGTGTGGGGGGGTGATTTCTCACTTTCTATCTCTCTGTCTTTCTCTGTCTTTTTGGCGAGCGCACGCGCCCTATCGCAAAAACCTCTCCAAAAGAAAAAAAAAAAAAAAAAGCAAGCCTCCAGGTCTGAGACTTGTACTGCATTTGGGCACATGGGAATCTAGTGCCCTAACCACCACTCCAGCTACCAGCTCCTTTAATTTTAATTATTTTTTCCTTTTTTTTTTTTTCAAGATTGCTACTGGGTGTATGCACTCACTGGAGAAAAAAAAAAAAGAGAGAAGGCACTCCCAGCGGGGATGGCCACACACAATCTATTCTCCATTCTCCCCTCAGCATTTTGGGCACACATGCACATGTGCCCAGCATGTTTTTCAAGTTACTGAGTCTGGGACTTGACCTGCACAGCCAGCCACATGGGATCTAGCCACCTTAACTGCCATGCCACTAGCTGACCCTTTATGCCTCTTCCTCTGGGCAATATCCAGAACTGATTTTCACCTAGCCTGTAGCTCTCAGGTATTATCTAAGATTGCTTAATTTGGAACTCCTTCTTACTGCAGGCCATAGTTTTCTAAGTTTTGTAGTTCCTCACTGTATATCCTTTTCTTCCTCATGTCTTTCAGATCCATGTAAACTTGAGAGAACTAGAGGCAGCTGCCTGGTTCAGTTGTGAAGAGGTGGCCACTGCCCTGAGGAGAAAGGGCCCCTATAGTCAGCAAGAGAATGGGACTTTCCCATTCTGGGTACCTCCCAAGTTAGCCATTGCTCACCAACTGATTAAAGAATGGGTAGAAAAACAGACCTGTTCTTCCCTGCCTGTTTAGCCCAGATCAAACTAGCTCAATAACTCCTTGGTATCCCAACGGGCATACCAGAGATGAGCGGACAAACAGAAGTGATGAAAGGCCAGCTACAGGCCAACCTCATAAGGCAGAGCAGAAGATGAGCCTACAGAAAGCACCTTTATCAGCAATGTTGAAAGAAGTTCTTCCGGGTGGATAATCCAAGATGACAGTGTGAGAAGAAAAACCAATGAGATGTGAACTATCAAGATCAGAAAGAAGGATGAAGCATTAGTTTGGATGTAGGCCCATATTAACCCATTTTCTCCAAGGCCTTGAGAGTGAACATCTTGCATGTGGCTTGCTAATGGTGTGTTTATACTAACTGCCAAAATAAGCCTGGTGTAATTTTGGCTAAAACTTTTATCTTAATAATGAAAATATAGAACAAATCTCAAGCGACTGCTGAGTTTTTATCCTCACTGAATTAAAAAAATAGTATAGCATAATATTTCTGAATGGTATACACGTATAGTCTTGTACATGGTGAATACAGCGTATTTCTTTAATTTTAAGGAATGAGAAAAAGGAAGGCTAAGGAACTTTGCAATAAATCAGATGCAATAAGGTTCTGTTGAGGCAGCTGAATTTTGGTGGGACTCAAAGGATGTAATGAGGTATGTTTAAGCCATTCTGAGTGTCTTTTTGGCAGGTCCCAGCCCTGTTACTTGCCCCGTTTGTGAGCCAGAGAAAAGACTATCACTTTGTCATGCTCTATTTCCTAAATGTCAAGTAATCACTGGCATGTGCATACCCAGTAAGTGTTAATTAACTTCATTGAAGGGATTAGTGAAGGTAAATAATGCCAAACCTGAACCATTTCTTGTACTTTTTTTTTTTTTAAGAGAGGACACATATGCTCACCAGAGACAGAAAGCAAGAAATCATACCCTGTGGGGATGGTCATGCCACAGTCCCTTCTTGGGCACACACACACACACGGCCAGAGTTAGTTTTTCTTTTTTGGAGAGGTTTTTGCTATAGGGCAAGTATGCTCGCCAGAGAGACAAAAAGTAAGAAATCACCCCCCAGGGGGATGACCACGCCACAATCCCTTCTCCTCCATTCTCCTCTTGGGATCTTGGGCATGCACGCACATGCACCCGGCATGAATTTAAGCCACTGGGTCCAGGACTCGAACTGCGGTCAACAACATGGGAGTCCAGCAACATAGCCATTACGCCCTTTGGTGGTCTCACTAGCATGAGTTTTAAGCCACTGGGTCCCAGACTCAAACTACGGTCAACCACATGGGAGTCTAGCAATCTAACTATTATGCCATCTGCTGGTCCCCATTTCTTGTACTTTATGACATTAAGATTTCTTGTCACTCATGTATGCCATTCCATATTATCCATTATGGAAATAAAATAAATTTCCATATCTTTGTATTTTTCTGTCCTATGAATCAAGAAAATTTTAGAACAGTGACACCTTGGGAGTAGGGAGAAGGAACTCTATTGATGTGATAATTACATGCAGGAGAAATAGAGGTTCTGGTAAAAAGAATGACTAGGGGAAGAATCATTATCTTCACAAGCTGCTAGGAACTAATTTGTTATTAAAGATACAGTCCCAGAGACTCTAAGATATTCACATGTAAAAGTCACATAGGAATAAGCAAACAGATTCCAGGACTAGAAAGTTGGACTGAATTTCCTTTTGACCACAAAGGGTCACTGCTCTCTTTGCTGCCAGCAAACCACCACTGCTTTGGGGAAATCAAAGTGCTTGCATCGGGAAATATTGAGGGATAAAATGTGATGGGATCTGTCTTGCTAGATTGGCAGCTTTGCCTTTACCCGGGCTGACCCCAGCTTGTAGAAGAGGTCCCGAGATTTCTTCATATCGTGTGGTTAGAAGAAAACAGTTCAGGGTCCATGTGTATTACCATCTCCCAATCTTTCCTATCTCTTAGTGGGTGTGTTTGTGAACACATGTGTACACAACTCCAATTTGAAAATACTGATAGGGGAATGTGTGGATTCCTGGTTATGAGCTTCTCAAACTTAACAGGAAGTAACTGTTTGCTTTTCAACTGATGTGTTTTTTGGGAAAAGATGAGAGTGGCTAATAGGAGCTGCCACATTGACATTTGTTTCTGAGCAATGAGTGGGAAGAGGGCTTTGCTACAGAACTCCAAGGACACCTAAAAGCTTAGGCAGAAGAGAGCAGGACTAGGGTAATGACACCGGCAGAATTAAAAAGACAAAGGAGCACCAGTAGATGGTGTGGATCCCACATGGCTGACTGTGAGGTTCAAATCCTGATCCTGGGAGCTTGAAAAACACAGCAAGCGTGTGTGCGTGGGTGTGTGTGTGTGTGCGCGTGCGCGCGCCCAAAATCCCAAGAGGAGAAAGGAATAGAAGAGACTGTGGCCATCTCACCTGGGGGGTGCTTTCTCACTCCTCCCACCCCCTTTGTCTCCAGGGAGCTCATGTACCTTATAACCAAACCAAACCAAACCAAACCAAAAAATCTTTGGTACAGGGCTTACCCGGTTGGAGAATACACATATGGCAATGAACTGCGAAGGTGCTGAGGATAAATAGAACTGTTTTGGTCCATGATGCAGAATAGCAGAAATAGGTAAAATCAAGTACATTTGTCACCAGAGAATATAGCTTAAAGTGAGAACCCTGGTACCTGGAATAAAAAAGCAATTCATTCATTTTTTATTTTTGCCTATCCACTATCCTTTTTGAACACAACATTTAGTCTTCAATGAAGATAAGCTTAATGTACCATTCTTTTCTTTTTCTTTTAAGAAATTTTTGCCTTAGGGCAAGTGAGCTTGCAAGGGAGCAGTGGTGGTGGGGAGCTTACAGAGACAGTGAGAGGGAAAGTGAGAAATCACCACCCAGGGGAAGATGGCAATGCCTCAATCCCTTCTCCTTCATTCTCTTCCCAGGATCTTGGGCACATACAGACGTGTGCTTGGCATGATTCTCAAGCCACCGGGTCTGGAACTCAAACTGCAGTTAGTCATGTGAGAGCCCAGGGACGTAACTATTACACCTTCTGTTGGTCCCCCCAAACCTCATTCTTAATATGAAATGTAGCTTCAAAACAAAAATGTATTTAAAACATTCTAAATAATTAACACTTAAATTGTTGCCTAGGTAATACAATTTTTTTCATCTGATGCTTTTCTTTAATCAATGTGCAACATTTTCCCTCATTCTCAGCTTCTTTCTGTCAACACCACTGTAAAAATAAGAGGAGGGGAACCAGCATTTAGCGTAATGGCTATGTCGCTGAACTCCCATGTAGTCAACTGCGGTTCGAGTCCCAGACCTGGTGGCTTAAACTCATGCAAGGTGCGTGTGTGTGCATGCTCAAGATCCCGAGAGGAGAATGGAGGAGAAGGGACTGTGGCGTGGCCAGCCCCTCTGGGGGGTGATTTCTCGCTTTCTATCTCTCTGTTTCTCTCTTTCTGGCGAGCGCACGTGCCCTATACCAAAAACCCCCCAAAAAAAAAAAAAAAGGGAGGAGGAGAAGGAGTTTGGTAATATTTAGTTTGCCCCAAAAAAAAAAAAAAAGGGACCAAATAGAACTTGTGACAATAGTTTCCCAAATAGGATTTCTCCTATACCCTTCTCTCTAACTCCTTCCCTGGTTGCTGGACAGAGGGCAGTATGAAATTACTTCCGTTATCTTCACTTTCAGAGGGCAAGATATAGTAAGCAAGGGCATCTCCAATGTACACAACAGAGGAAACAGTGAATACAGTAAGGGCAAAGCCAAGACCTAGATTATAAAAACATGATCAATATATAGAACTGTTTGTAGATAAGACTTGATTCTTTTTAGAAGAGTCATTCTAAGAATCACAAAAAAAAACATGTATCATCTTAGAGTTTATCAGTTATACTGAATATCAAACTTCTGTTAATTAATTTAAAAAGGTACTATATCAATGTATGGAATGTCCAAAATACACAAATCCATAGAGGCAGAAAGTAGATCACTGGTTTTTAGGAGATGGGAAAGAGAGAAAATAGGGAATAATTGTTAATGAGTATAGAGTTTGGGGTTTCTTTGTGGGTTGATGAAAATTCTGGAATTAGACAGTGATAGTCTGTTGGTTGAGCAACTTCATTAATTCCTAAAAACCACTGAATTGTATTCTTTAAAAGGGTCAATTTTTTTGTATATGCATTATATTTCAAGTTGGCTGTTATTTTAAAAATAAATTCTATGTTTTGATTTAGGTACATACATGCAGAATTCATCAGACTTGTGTACTTTACTATATGCATGTTATAGCTCATTAGACCTACAAAAAAAAAGTGAATAAATCTTCAAAGCCGAATCTGCTAGCTTAGAATTTTGACCTAAGGATAAGGGAGGATATGGGTAAGGGAGAAATGAAACACTGTGAATTACACCAAGGCTGTATTGTGTATAGGCTGTACATCTCATCTCACAGGCTGGTCAGAGGCTTGATTCTATCCTGCTAACTTCAAAATCTCATGTGCACCCTAGGGTTGAGATTGCAAAGACCTGTGCAGAGACAACAACATTTGAGACTCAGGAAGAAGTCAATCTATGAAACTTGCAGTGAATAAACATTTTTACTAAATGAGTAACTGAAACTTGACACAAACAGAAAGAGACTAGGTATTTATTCAAAAAGAAGAAGGAATGCTGGTTAATATTTCCTTGGCTTACTTGAGGTTCTGTGATCAGTGTTGTCAGGCAGCTGCACCCCCATGCTTTGTAAAAGGTTGGAAGCAGGCCCTGCCAGACCAGCTTGGGAGCTATAGGAATCCAATATATTTGAAACCAGATTCAGGTCTACATCGACCGGTGCTAGAGCAGGTTCTCCTGTACCTGACTCTTCTTCATCTGAATTATTTTTGGCAGTCGGGGATTCAGGTTCCTTATTCATGGAAGAAAAAGAAAATCATGGGATGATATATCATTAGGTTGGATGGTGGTTAGAATACAAAGCTAAGCAACAATAAATTGTTGATTCCAAATTAAAAAGAAAATTTCTTATTCTTTGTAATATAAAGTAAAAATGAAGTCTAATAAGCTATAATTTAACGTATTAAAACTTGAGTCTAAAGATTATAATACATTTCTTTCTAGGAAAAGTTTCTACAAATTGAACAAATTTCATCCTTATTTTGAAATAGCCTAAAAAACACAAAAATTAAACTTAAACACATTTAAGTTACCCTGAAACTTTTAAAAGAAATAAACATAGGGAAGAGATAAGAATCTAAATTTTGTTCTAAATGAAAGAAGTTAGATATCCCCCTTCTCCCACAGTAGAAAAGCTTAAAATAAAAACATGAGGCTTTGGGGCACAAACCAAAAAGACTCTGAATTGTTAGTTGGGCTTCTGATTTCAAAGGTTGGGAAAAGCATTTGAACAATTACAGCTTGATCTATAGACCTTTATACCCTTGTTACTCAAAGTGTAGTCCATGCCCCAGCAGCATCTGCATTTCGAGATTTCTTAGAAATGGAAAATCTCAGGGTTCCTTCTGGATTTGCTTAACCAGAACCTATATTGTTAACAATATCCTTAGGTGGTTTATATTTTTATTAAAATTCAAGAAATATTATTTTGGGGCCAGTAGGTAGTATGGTAGTTAAAGCGCTGGACTCCCACATGGCCAACTGTGGGAGTCCAAATTGTGGTTCAAGTCCTGGACCCAGTAGCTTGAAAATCATGGTGGGTGCATGTGCACGCATGCCCAAAATACTAGGAGGAGAATGGAGGGAAAGGGATTGCAGTGTGGCTATACCTCCTGGGGGTAATTTCTCACTTTCCCTCTCTCAGTCTCTCTCCAGTAAACGCACATGCCCTATAGCAAAAACCTTAACAAAATAAATAAATAAAAAGGAAAGAATACTATTTTTGGGGGGGGGAGAGAGGTTTTTGCTATAGGGTGCATGCACTCGCCAGAAAGACAGACAGAAAGCGAGAAATCACCCCCCAGGGGGGATGGCCACGCCGCAATCCCTTCTCCATTCTTCTCTCGGGATCTTGGGCACGCATGCAAGCACACATGCCTGGCGTGAGTTCAAGCCACCAGGTCCGGGATTCGAACCGCGGTTAACTACATGGGAGTCCAGCGACATAGCCATTATGCTAACTGCTAGCCCCAAAAGGAAAGAAATACTATTTTACATAAAGCTAATGTATGGTTTCAATCAGGTTTTGGCAGAACTGAAAATGATTACAGTTTTAAATGTGCTTTAGATAATCAAAGCAAAGTGAATCAACATTAATTAAGGACATATTATAGGTTTTACTGCTGTCTGATTTGGTTCACACATTAATTCTATGCCATAAGGATGACTGGTTAACGGGAAACCTTTGCAGTAGATGGCTGAGCTAGCTGGGTTTCATCTTTCTGTAATGCCTCTGTCTAGGGTTAGACAGTATTGGTATAAAAACTAGGATGAAAACAGGAATGGGAGATGAATTTGAAATCTGGCTTTAAATTAGGGAAACACAAACATTACAACTTGAAAGTTATTTAGATATTTACAATCCTCTCTCTTTTAATATCCATTTAGGCTATTAGTAGTAGTAGCATGCCACCACATACTAAGCACATTAAATGACTTTATTTTAAATCCTGGTAGATAACATAGAATAGGTCATATAATTTAGCTCATGCTTAGGACAATAAAATTTTAATTCTTCATCCTACCAAAGT